GTTGGTTTACGAATTGTTTTGTGCTTCCATTTCATAGTCTTCAATTACAATTACATTGCATATAATCTCATATTTTCAATCAAAAATTAAATACCTTAGTATCATTATTAATCAATCATTTGACTATACTTTTATTCATTCATGTTTTACAAGTTAATCATAATTTACTTAGTTTATTTTATAACAGTTCATATTATCATCCCAAATCTATCCTAAAATCATTTTGTAGATATAATAAGAAAGAAGTACATCTTTATATATTTATTATTTTCTAAAAGTCTACATATTTCATTACTGTATTTTATTGTCTAACCATTGATAGAAAAGATCCCAAATTTTATAAAATTGTTTATCCTCTTGTTCTCTAATTTCAAATGACAATCTACTCATTTCAGCACATTCCAATATTAATGATCTCCTCCTGTGATGGTATTTTCTCATTTTTCCAGTTTTTAGCAAATACAATCCTAGCCGCTGTTAATACATTTACAATCAGGTATTTCAAGTCTTTACTATATATTTCAGGTAAAATTCCCAATAAAAATATCTCTGGTTTCAAGACATATGTTTTTTTGTCATTTTTTCCAACCACATGTGGGTTTTAGTCCAGTATTTTTTAGCATCCGCACAAGTCTACCACATATGGTAATATGAGCCAGGTGTCTGATGACATTTCCAACATTTTTCGGATTTATTCTTGAACATTCTTGCTCTTCTTGTCGGGGGAAAATGCCACCTGTAAAACATCTTATACAAATTTTCTTTATATGCTGTTGACATTGTCATTTTATAATTTTGAGACCACAATTTTTGCCATTTCTCTAAATCGATTTTTTTATCCAAAATTCTCCCCCCAAGCAATCATAGTTTCTTTAATTTGTTCTTCTTCTAATTTAATTTCTAATAAATATCCATACAGTTTTTAAATTACCTTTTCATCAGTGCCTGGCCAAATCTTATCTAAATCAGTCAATTTATCATAGAAACCTTCCATTTTAGAATCTTTATCATACCTTGAATGTATTTGTGCATATGAAAATCAATTCATCTTTATACCTTGTTCCTCTAGTTTTTGTATAGATTTGAGTTCAACCTTTTCATTCAATATTTCACCATATCTAACAGTTTGTTCCTTTTTTTTATATGATAGGATAAGAAAATGCTTCAATAGTCGATAACCAGACTGGAATTTTCAAATAACATTGTCTTTTAATCTCCCAGTTTAACCACAGAGACTCCCGTATATAATGTCTTCTAAAATACCCCTGTGTTTTAGTTCCTTTATACCATAAAAAAGCATGCCATCCCAACAACAAATCATGTCCTTCTAATGTCAACAATCTAGTATTTCTTAGTGTTATCCATTCCTTAACCCACATCAAATTTGTAGCTTGATAGTACAACTCCCAATTAGGCAAACCAAATCCTCCTCTAATTCTAGCATCTTGCAAAAGTTTTAACTTTATTCTCGCTTTCTTACCTTGCCATATATATTTCAACACAATTTTATTTAGATCTTCGAAGTAGTCTTTTCCAAGCCTAATTGGAGTTGTTTGAAACAAGTATAAAATTCTGGGTAATATATTCATCTTGATTGTTGAAATTCTCCCTATTAGTGATAGTTGTAAATTTTCCCATTTCGCCAGATCTAGCACTATCTGCTGTTTAAGTTTGATATAATTATTCTCTTTTAATGTACTGTCAAATATATCCCCAAGTACTTGATCTTATTCGTGACCTGAATTTTCAATAGGTCTGCCAGTTCTTCCTTTTGTCTTAATTGACATATGGAAAGGTGGCTGGTTTGAAAATAAATAAAGATAAGACAAAGATCTTGACAAAGAATCGATACCATTCTTAATACAACTGTGTATCTTCTTAAACAAATCCTTAGAGATATTGGAAAGGCAGATTAAAATGAAAACTGTTTGCTAATTAATGTGGGAAGGAATATGGCAACATGCTCCCACTTTCTGAGCCATTCCTACATTAGTTATAGAGTGCTCTACCTTTCATTTGCAAATGAAATTTTAGCGTGGTTCAGTTTAATAAAAAATGCAGCATATGTAAGAAAAAAAATTAAGAGATGCTAGACTGATTCTCATCTTTGAGTAAGAAATGTTGCAATCTCTCTCAGCCAACTAATTTCGCTGGGGTATGGTGAGCGCTTCCTTTCATGACAGAAGTTAGGGGCATGGGAAGCTTCAGCAGGAAGTGTGGAAAGCAGAGAGGAAATGAGCTGGCAAGGGTGCTTGGGAGGGAAGCTGGCAACAGGACCAAATGAAACAGATGCTTCCCCCACCATCCAGTTCTGAAGTTTGCTTTAGCCTCTAACACAACCAGCTTAATAAAATGTTTCTCTCAACTGTTATGAATCCTTGAGATATGCTGTTTTCTTAGAATCATGTCAATCCAGGAGAATATGCATCCTGTAGGGAAAATATGTCCTTTTCTAGTAGTCTGCATATCCTGTCCTCTTGGACTTAAAGTGCAATTTTAGGCCTGTTGATGGAGATTGTAAAGGGAGGAGGGATAGACTGAAAAGCATGAGGATTTTTGCCACAGCAACCTGAGCATCTTCCAGGTAGGAAAAGTTCAATTCCCAGAATCCCGCCATTATCTTTTCCTCAGAATTCTAGATTTGACATCCATTTTGGATGCTGCCAAGTTTAGTAACTTCTGTGCCAGAATTGAAACCATTTATTGGCAGTGCCCCTATCTGGTGGCAGAAAGGATGAATAGCTGAATGGTTGATATGAATTGCTTCCTTCAGTTGATGATGGAAAGAAAACATTTAAATGTTCCACCATACTGAAGTGTTATTATTCAAGGCAAGAGCCAGCAGAAAACCATACTGGTTTGAAGAAGTGCTGATTGCATTCCGGATGCTTATTTTGCCTTAGCAATGCAGCAGAGGAGAGCGTCAGTCTGCAGCACAAGTGGGAAGGGAAGAAGAGAAGTGGGTGGGAAACGCCACCTTTGATGCCGATTGCTGGCAGCAGAAGATCTATGGGAATTCTGCTGCAATGTCTCCAATCTCACAGGGTAGTGGTTTCCCAGCCTTAAGCATTCCCAGCCAGCATGCTTAAAATGACTGAAGTTCCAATGTTCCAATATTTGAGGGGCTGCCACAGAGAGGAAGGAGTCAAGCTATTTTCTAAAGCACCCGAAGGCCAGACAAAGAATGATGGATGGAAACTGAACAAGGAGAGATTTAGCCTAGAAATAAGGAGAAACTTTCTGACAGTGAGAACAATCAACCAATGGAACAGCTTGCCCTGAGAAGTTGTCATCACTTGAGACTTTCAAGAAGAGATTGGACTGCTATTTGTCAGAAATGGTGTAGGGTCTCTCGCTTGGGCAGGGGGTTGGACTAGATGACCTACAAGGTTCCTTCCAACTCTGATTATCTGTTATCTGTTAAGTTGAGAAACGTTGCCATGGGGCAATCAATCTAGAACTGGGGGACTGGCAGTGAAAGAGCCATTCTCCTCTACTTCTCCTGCTAGCCAGAGGGGCAGATAAAGCAAAGGAGGAGAAGGAGGGGTTTTTTTTTTTGCTGCCCCTGGCACCACACAGACTCCCACCGCTCCATGAACTGGCAGCTAAAGAGCTGCTTTCCCAATTGGTCTGAAGGGACCATGCATCTGCAACCCCCCTAGTAGAGCCACAGGTCCAGTGAGAGTCTTCAAGCTTCAGCTTTTTTGCTGGCACTGTTAGATGGGGTAGATTGGTCCCCATAGAGACGCGAGACCAAAAGTGAACATTCAGCTCTTTATTCGGTATACAGTTCTGTACAAGACCTGCGCTCAGTGGCAGCCCTTCGTATAGGGACTGCCGGCGGCCCGGCGGCCAATGACAGCGCTTTGAATCTCCCGCGATCGGCTCGGCCAATCGCGGTTGATTCTTAGCGCACCAATCATGGCCGTTCAGTTGTCCAATCAGGTTGCAGTCCGTGTGGACCAATCAGGATTCAGGGTTTGGAGTATGCTAATACAGAACAGGCACCCCTGTGGGAAAGTTGCCATGGCATTATGGAAGGATTGTGGGCAGAAGCGCCCTTTTCACCGACTTGCTTGGGAATGGAAGCAAGGGGACCTGAGGTGGTATTCAGCAGGTTCTGACCAGTTCTGGAGAACCGATAGCCGAAATTTTGAGAAGTTTGGAGAACTGGCAAATACCACCCCTGGCTGGAGATTTTCCAGTATCCTTCCCCTGCCACGCCCACCAAGCCATGCCCACAGGACCAGTAGTAATTTTTTTTTTGAATCCCACCATTGAAGGGAAGCATCTCTCTAGCAACTCCATGGGCAAAAATGGGTCTTTTTGTTGCTGGCAGAAATGCCTCTCCCCACCCCCCAACTCTTTCTTCCCCTGCTTCATCTGCTACCCATGGGCTGGGAAAAGAAGTCAGCGAGGTGGCTTTTTGGTCCAATGGGACAGCCCTGACTCTCCTGCTGCCAAAAATGAGTGGCCAGCAGCCAGAAGGGATGCCATGTTCACAGTAGCCTCAGAGGAGAAGTAGGATCAGGACAGACCGTAACCCTAAACTTGTCTCAGAATAGTTGGCTTTAGACTGACACCTGGCATGGCTTGTGCTGGTGGAAGTTGAAAAACACCCCTTTTGAAGTTGGGAGAGAAAACCAGAACAAGGCTGCTTTCGCGGTGGGTCAGAAAACAAGTCTGAGAAAGATGCTGGGCATCTTTGTGTTCTTCAGAAATAGTCAGTAGGCATCTTTGGAGACCAGGCCAAGTGGATAGGCCCTTAAGAAAGAAACCTTAAAGAATGTGGGCAGTCCAATCTTTCTCTACCCATATGTCTGCCCTTGCAGCTGCATGCAGCCAGCAAAGCAATGGAAATACTCCAGCCTCAGAGTTTCCACTTCACAGGAGGACTGCTGTGATTGGTGTTTCGCTCTGGGTTAAACTAAAATGCAAGTCTTATTTTTGTTTTGCAGATGTGGAGGAATGGCACAGATACAGCCTTCCCTTTGGGGGAAATGCCAGGCTCTTTCCCTAACAACTCAGCACATTTGCAGTGTGTGGCTGAAGCAGCATTCCAGCACTTACTATTACCCATCGTTTACGGCCTGGTTTGCGTCCTGAGCCTGGCCTCAAATGGCGTGGCCTTATGGAGCTCTTGGGTCTACCGAGCCCAGGCCCCACCCATCATGATCTTCATCTACAACCTGATTATCATTGACCTGCTCTTTGCCCTGTCGCTGCCATCACAGGCAGTGTATCATGCCAGACACAATGACTGGCCCTTTGGGGAAGGCCTGTGCAAGGTCACCAATGCCCTCTTCCTGGCCAACATGTTCTGCTGTACCCTCTTCCTGGCTTGCATCTGCTTGGAGCGTTATGTGGCTGTCGTCCATCCTGTCTTCTACCTGCGCCTCAAATGGCCTCTGTATCGGGTGCTGCTCTCCATGGCTATCTGGTCTTTGGTAGGGATTGGATTGCTGATCTTCTTCTCCAAGAGCACCGTGACTCATCGCTTCTCCAACGGAAACACCGCCTGCATGGAAAACTTCCCAGCCCAAGTTTGGAATGGAAGTCTGGCAGCCATGATCCTATTTTCCTCAGCCCTGGGCTTCTTCCTGCCCTTCCTTACTATCATTATCTGTTCCATTGTGGTTGCCCACCGAATTATGAATCTGGGCCATGGGACAATGCAGTCATCTTCATTGCGTAGGCATTCCCTTCAAACCCTCTTGATGGTGATGAGCCTTCTCATCTTCTGTTTTCTCCCTTTTCATACCATCCATGTGCTACACACCCTGGGCCGTATTGGCGTTCTTTCAGCTCCAGGATTGCTGCACTTCACTTGCTCAGCCCAGCGTGCAGCTATGGCCCTTGCTAGTATTAACAGTGCTCTTGACCCCCTGGTATACTATTTTAACATGAAGTCTGCTGATTGGAAGCTACCATGCTGTGGCACAGTCAGCCAAAATCTTATGGAGCCAGGTGAGATTGCTAATAGCACAGGGGAACGCCGTAGAAGGAACATAATTCTTAAAGACTGAACTTGGTCTATGGCTTCTTTCTGATAGCTAGGTGAAAGAGGTGTCTTCCCCTGGATATTATTGTAATTTAAGTTATAAGCTCCTCTTGGCCAGAGAGAAAGATTGAGAGAAAGAGGGAAAGAAAAATCTTATCCCTGAGTTATTGATTTAATGCTTGCCTTGACTGGCATGATGCATCGTTAGCCCAGCCTATATCATGGCCTTGTTTAAGTTAAGATATAGGGGAATGGATGAAACTGTATCTCCCAATCTTGTCTTCACCACAGTGTTTGTTCTATAGTTCCCACTGACCCAAACAGTGCTCCAATGGACAATGCTGGTCGGTCATCAGGTTGAAGGATAGATTAGAATGTCCTTTCAAGATCTGATAAGAACTGTAGCCCAAGAACAATCAGTCGGAAGCAGTGGGAGCAAAGACTGGTCTAAAGAAGAGGAGAGAAAATAAAAATAAACCAGGAATCCAGACTAGAGAAATCAGATTCGTGTTGCAATAATCTGGGTTAGAATTGCTCCCTTTTGCTGCCATCTAATGACCAGAACATGATTGCTGACTAGTTCTTTCACCCTAATACAGATGACCGCAGAAAATAATGGTTTGGGAAGCAACACAAAATTGTGCTTGTTGTGATTCTAATTGTAGAGTTCATGTATTGTGCTGAACCATAACATAATTTGGTTTGGGTTACTGTGCTGTTCAAGTTAGCACTGTGCTTTCTAAACTATGATTTTATAGCATTTTTGTGTAGTGTGTGAATTCAGCCATTATAATTTGTTCAACAGATTATGGTTAACAAAAGCTTGACAAGGAGAAGCTTTGGCAGGCAAGACTCAGAATTCAGGAATAACATGAGGCAAGGAAAGACTGGAAACATTGCAATTGTTGGGATTGTTACTTTCTATTTATATAATTGTGCAAGAGTTTGGCTCAAAGTCCAGAAGATTGGGAGATAAATAAGTAATAATCTGTACAAATCAGCTTTGGACATACCTTGAAGGATTTGGATTAATTTATTACATGTTATCATCTCCTAATACATTTCCCAGCCTAACAGCTGAAGCATCAAGAGCTACAACAGCATGCAAGCTATAAAAGAGATTATTCTCAACTACTTGATTAAAAGGCCCCATTCAGGGGGTCCTGGTTACACTGGCATAGCATGGTTTCTTCAGTTCTTACCACTGCCAGATCTGGACATATGTCCGAACCTGGTCTTTTACAGAATCTTGATCAATATCCATCTGGGGAAGAAGATCTGGAGAAAATATAAAGCTTTCCATTTGCAACTGTTAAGAAGGCTACACACAACCAGCATTGTCCATTGATGTTTAAATGGTTTATAATACAGACTTCTTATAATGTGAGATTTATATGGATAAAGTGTGATGATATACAAATAGTCCTACTTCTTCAACAGTACCTTCTGGATACTACAAATGGAGCACATCCATTAAGGACACTAAAACACAGAACCTCAGGATAATTTTTAAAATTCTTGGATGTAGTTCTCAGACCCAATCTAAAAGCTATTGTCAAACTGTAGTTTTTTGTAATGGGGCAGAAAAGGAATCTTAATCTCATGTATCTAATAATCATATCAGTTGTAGCTGGTTAATTTAAATTCAAATGAAATGGAATCATTTTTATGTCCTCTCCCAACTTTTGGGGAGTGTAGCCCCCAGATTCCTACACAAAAACAAAAATCAGGTAGTAAATAAATTAGGCAATAATTGGTTCTGATAATTATTCATCACATTAACCCTTTAAAATAAGAAATACAAAAGTATTTAGGACTTTTAAAGAAATTGGATTATTTCAACACAGCAAGTGAATCATAGCAACCATAAGAGAATAATTCTTCTGAATATCTTAAGCCCCTAACATTTTATAAAGGATTGATCTTTCTTATAGTTTTGCTATTACAAATTTAGAATTGCTTTAAATTGAAGTCCTTGAGAAATGCAGTCATCTTTGAAAGTAAAACAGAAAAACAATATTCCACATAAAGATTAAAAAGAAAGAAAGAAATTTTAGCTTCAAGTTGCTTTATTCAGAAAACTGAAGGCATAAGGAGAAACAACTTGATATCCTTCCAGAGTATGGTTGGTTTTTACAGAGAATGTTTTTTCTCTTTATTTTCCTTTTTATTTAAAATATTGCTAATGCAGTAGATGTGTTGGTAGTTTGAGGCATTAAGTGCAATCCTAAACTTACAGCAATACACCGGTTTAGTTAGTGCTTTTGTGTCCAATGCTTTACTTAATTAAGTAGGTAGAGTATATTTACTCATAAAAATAATGAAAAAAATCCTCTATAATAAAATACATATCAAAGTCTATCAAAAATGAATCAATAGAAGTTTCAGTGGTTCATTAGATGCTTTACGTCCCACTATTTTCATTACAATTAACATTAAACCAAAAAGGGACATCTTCCTCCCTCTGCCTAAATAAATCAGCTTCCATTATTTCCATGCAGTCTGTTTTTGTCACTTTCCCCCCTCTTTCTTTCTTTCTTTCTTTTAATTGGTTTTACTATAATTCTCTTGTTTTGCATTGTTATGAGCCAGCCAGAGTCATTGGGAATCAGTTAGCAAGCAACTCTGATAAATGAACAAACAAACAAACAAACAGTCTGGCATGTGGTTCTGCATATGCAAAACCTGATTATATCAGATTGTGGTCCAAGTTATTATTCCTGCTCTGGACTGGACTGGCTAGATAACATCTCCGGCTCCAACAAAATTGCACACTCCTTTCCTAAATAGTTACATGGTTTCTGCAGTCAACCCCATTTCCTTGTGCAAAACATAAAAACATCTTGCAGAGTCTGTCAATGCTGAGGATGCCCCAGGCACTATTCCTCAAGCTTTGTGACACTGCAACCTTAAAATGATGAATGAATTTGTGAGATCCCTCCATAAATAAAGCTAATGATTTCACTGAAATTAATGAGGTTCAAAAGTCCAAACTCAACTTCCATGCCTGGGGTAACTTTTTTTTTTTTTAATGCAGTAGACACTGCCATGCTCTATGGCATCTCTACAGAACCAGTTTCTTTCTTATTTCTATTTTATTTTATTTATTTATTTGTCGTGTGCCTTTATTATTTTTACAAACAACTCAAGCCGGTGAACCTATCCTACATACCATATTTATTTATTTACTTACTTATTTACTACCCATCTTGCATCCAATGACTCTGGACAGCTTACAACATAAAAACATTGAAAAACATTACAATCATTCATTATAAAAACACAGCAGACAAAAAATATTAAGAGTTAAAATTGTGGACACAAGAGGGCAAAGAAGGGAGCCAGACACATGAGGGGAGGGGAGGTAGGGTTGAATTTTAATTAGTCAACCACTTCCAATATGAAGCTCCCCCAATGGGTCCCCAAGCCATCTGGCAGAACCAAGTTTTAAGGTCATGTGATACTTCAGGAGGGTAGGAGCCAATTTCACCCCAGGGGGTAAGATGTTCCAGAGGGCAGGAATCATGGCAAAGAAGGCTCTTCTAGATCCTGCCAGCCAAAATTCCTTGGATGATGCGACCCACAGTTTGCCCCTTCTGGTGGCACTGGTGGGATGGGTCAGTCCCATTGGGGTGAGACAGTTCCTCAGGTAGTCTGGACCCATGCCATGCAGGGCTTTAAAGGTGATGACCAACATCTTGAAGTGTACCTAGAAACAGACCAGCAATCACTCCATTTCACAGTGATGTAACAGGGATCATTCTAGTGGCCCTAAGAACTGCCTGCACTGGGCTTCCGGTTTGCAAGGCTTTGGCGGCGGCAGGAATCCGCGATCGTATGCGGTTCCTGCTGCGCTCGCTGCCGAAGTGCCTCTGATCCAGCTGGATCTGGAGGATATGGTTACCCCGTAGAGGCAACCGAAGAGAGAGGAGATCCAGGTAGGGGCTTGGGGGTATTGCAAACCCCCTCCTCAGCCGGCTAAACTCCTTTTTCCCAAGGCGGTGGAGCGGCGGTCAGCAATGGCCGCCACAAAGAAGCCTGCAGCCGGGTAAGATTGTGCAGGAGGAAGTTGGAGAAAGTGAAAGTTTTTTGGCTGAACCGGGACAACAAGGAACTTTTAAATACCCTGGAATCTTAATTGCTTGAATGATACATTGTTTCCTAAGAAGATTGGAAAGCGGCGGAAGAAAAGTGAAAGTGAAAGTTATTTTTTCTCACTCTCCTTCCCCATGGAAATAGCTGATGGAAATCGGAAAAACCTGCTTGGGCATAGAAGGTAATTAAATTTCAAACTTAAAGCCAAGAGGATAAAAGATTTCTGAACATTGGAATCAAAAACTAAAACCTTTTTTGCTATAAGTGGGAGGGAAGAGGTAAAGAACTTATTTTAAGATTGTATTGAAGGAGACTGCTTGCAGTTTACAAGATTAGAAATAAATGACAATAAGACTTCTAAAAATTACTTTGAGACTGTGTAATTGAACTCTACCCCAGGAAGAGAAAATATAAAAAGAAGAAAGTGCTAAATAAAACAATTTGTTCTGATTTGGATTGCTTTATGACTTTTGGATTTTTGGGAACTATTTCTTGAGGGATTAAAAACATTTGGGTTGTGCTTAAGGGAAAAAAATGGCACTATCAGTTGAAGAATTGCAAATGGAATTTCAAAAACTAAAAGAAGAGGAACAAGAAGGCAAGGGCTCTTCTGGATCTATTTTTCACTTTTTAGAAATGACAATTTCTACCTACCAAGAAATACAACAACAAGAAGGCTGGGATGAAGGAGAAGAAGCCATCTTTAATGGACAGACAATCTCACTTGAAGAAGAAAAGAGAAAGGGGGGGAAAGAAAACGGAGAATTCAGAACTTAAAAAAGCAACCAAGAAAGGGAAAAATAAGATGAAAAATCGATACAATGTCAGAAAGCAACAGAAAAGAGAAATACAACAGAGAGGGAAGATTAAGAGAGTGGAGTTTGAGAGATGGGGGGTAAAAAGGCTAGAATTGATAAGAAAGGAATGGAAAAAGGAAAGAGAAGTCATAAAGGTTTAAAACAAGATGTTAAAAAACAGGTTTTTTTCAGAGACAAAGGGTAAACTATAATTTAAAAAATGATTCTGCAAAAGTACATAAGATTGTATTGTAGATATTAGTATTTGAAATTGAGTTAGAAAACTGAAATATTATATGAATTAATAATGCATTAAAGGGAACATATAAAAATGTTTAAGATTTAACAATAGAGTTTAACTTTTTATGGAATATTGTCTTTACTATTTTATAAACTTAATTCTCTTTTTTTCTTTGTTTTATTATTCTAAAATGTGATACTTAGAATGTACTAAGCAGAATCAGCATGGAAAGTATGTATTATTTTAAGTGTTAAATTTAGGGGAAAGATAAAAAGTTTTCATACTTCAACCAGTGATTACAGGAGAAATATTGTACTAGAAGGAAAAGAAAAATAGACAATTGAAAGAGAATGGACAAAAGATGCAAATATAATTATTTAAACTGAGATGAAATAAATAAAATAGAATTAAGAGAGTGAATGAAGAGAGAAAATATATAGAAAATATAGAATGTTAAATAAGATATGAAATAGTATATTAAGTGAGCATGAATTTGATTTATATCTGTACAAAAAGATATTACCTGGGGTAAGCCGCTTTCCAAAAAGAAGTTTTATGTATTTATGTTTTGTGTTTTGTTTGTTTATCAAAACGTTAAAAGAATGTTGGAAGAGAATAATGAAATTTTAAATAAGACAGATGGATATAATGAATATATACAATTTAAGGCAAAAGAAATATAATTGAATAGAATGAAAGGGAGAAATAAAGAGAAGTTGGGAAAAGATATGAAGTTGAACAGATAAGATGAATATACATATTAAACTGTGCTGGTATGGAAATGTGATAATTTGGAATTATCCTG